CCTCCCCCGGGGGAGGCCTTACTGGACTTAGGGTTTAGGATTTGGCATTTAGGGGTTTAGGATTCAGGGTTTAGGGCCCTTAACCCTTCAGATTACTGCTTGGGGCAGATATGGGTCAGGAGCACTACCTGGGCAAGATAGCTGGGATTGGCCAAATCCCATCAGTCACCACCAATCCTGGCATTAGTCATGGCCTGTCATAAGGGGTTATCCCTAAATTCATTAACGTATGGGTCCCTATAGTGGGACTCCCATTATACCTAGTACAAATAGTTGAGGACAAGACCCAGATACAACATGCACTGCTTTAGCCAAAAGAGCCCTAAACCCCAAACCCTGGACCCGAAGCCCGTAAGCCCTAAACCCTTCAAGCGTAAACCCTAACCCAGACCCCTGGGCGGATCTAGAAAGTAGAACCCCCTTAAGGGTTCCTAGGAATTACCTAATAGTAGTATAGGGTACCAAATTGGGGGTTCTACTTTCTAGATCCTCCCAGGGGTCTGGGAAGCCCTAAACTACGATCCTCCAAGTTCAAAGTATGGAGCTCTTCTGATGGATCCTTCGAGTCTAGGGTTTGGGGTCGCTGGCAAAAACCGCTTAGGACCCTAAACCTTGTAGAAATTCTTATTAGGAGGGACCCCTGGAAGGGACCCCTAATCCCAATACCTTATATAGCCCTTATATCCAGGTAGTACCCCTATTACCCCCAATAAGCTACAAGGGTCCCCAGTAAGGGTCCCTCTTAAAGCCCTTACAATACTGCTCACACATTGGAGCGGCCTGAGCGGCTTTTTGTACGGGCAAACATACGGTGGATACGAAAATCCTGCATTACCTTAGGTACCATATACCTTGGGAATTATGGTACTATAGTATACTAAGGTCATGCAGGATTTTATAAGCGACATTTGTTTACAGACTTTGGGGTCCAGGTACACATCTGCATGTCTGGATGTATGCCTAACACAGAGGGTATACACCCTACACTCTGAACACCTCCCACTCTCCGGGGGCCACAAATGAGACCTCGAACCCTTAACCCCTAGCCCTACACCCTTAACTCTAAACCCTAAAACCCTAAAACCCTTAACTCTAAACCCTAAAACCCTTAACTCTAAACCCTAAAACCCTAAACCCTAAAACCCTTAACTCTAAACCCTAAAACCTTTAACTCCAAACCCTGAACCGCCTTAGCGCCTACGAGCCTGCAGGTAGATCTCTTCAGCTTCGACTGCGCTCGCTTCCACCCGGATACTCGGTTGCTGTTACGGATCTTGGATTAAGTAACTACGCTAGGGATCCAAGTATACAAATAATACCTACATTGGGCCCCAAAGTCTGTAAATATTACCTACATTCGGCTATTTGGATCCCTAGGGCTATAGCAAGGAAACCCTATTATGTACGATCCACCCATGTTATGGCAATTTCAGCCCGAAACCGTATACCCCATGCAGACTATATTACGCTAACTTAACTTAAGCTCCTTAACAGCAACTCAGGAAAGTGTCGCAAGCAGTCGGTGGGTCCGCGATCGCACCCACGAAAGCTGCTTGAGGAGTGCTGGACAACGTTTGTGTTCGGGGGCGGGGCGGTCCTGCTAATATTTGGCACAGAGTTGTGTGAGGGATATCAGGGAGAAATAATGGAAATTTTGTCATGCTTCTAGGCCTGTTTTTACCCCAGCACATGGGCATAATGGAAAAGAAAATGAAAACTATTCTAACGGTGTTACTTAGGGTTCAGGGTTTAGGGCTTTAATCATCTTGGTCATCACCGTCAGTGCCGCTGGTGTTGTCATCAGCATCATCAGCCGCACTTTCACAGATATACCACTGGCAGAAAGCAGTTAGCGCGGCAGTTGGCAAGCTGATGAGGATGCGGAAAGTTTACCTGGACCTGTTCGATGCATGCTTGGGATGCAGTAGAAGCAGTCCCCCATAACAGGACACCGTGCGCATCCATGTCACGCATCTAAGCTACCTGTTGTGCAGTCACCTTATTCACACAACTGCTGATGGCGCACAATCTGAGCGTGAAAAGACATCCATAGCTCAGGCTACGCCAAGACCTACGCCATTGTCTTTCCTCACGATGAAGCCCTGGCAGGCCTTACAGGGAGTTTTGCTGCTGAAGGGTCCAAATGCAAGAAAATAGTGTGCCCTTGTTTTGGCTTTGTTCAGCTATGCTTGGAATTGGCCTGAGATTAACATTCGAAAGATTAAGACTCCAGTAACATTAAAGATGCTACAGTTTCAGGTAGGACGGCTTCATTTGGGTCCTAGGGATCCAAATATTCCAAAAAAAAGGCAACTTGCTTCTAAAGACTTAGGAACACAGTAGGCATTCATTTCAGACTTCATCCCGCTATGTAACCCGTACTGTTGATGGATAAAAATTCTGCACCAACCACCAACTAGAGGCCCTGAACTATTGTAGTTCTTAGGACTTTAGAGACTTTAGGTGGTGCAAGATTTCCTCCATGAACAGTATATCTCCCTTTGAGGATCCCCAGGGGAGGGTGGCTCTTGTGTGAAGGCCGCGGTAGCCGCAAATCGGCGCTCTACGACGAGCTCAAGAGCCGAGGTTCCAAGGTAGCACTACTACTTTAGGGTTTAGAGTTTAGTGTTTATTACTAATTATTACTAGGGTTTAGGGTTTAGGGTTTGGGGTTTAGTGTTTATTACTATATTACTACTATACTACTACTATGTTGTTACTATATTAATACTATATTATTACTATATTACTACTATGTTACTACCATATGATTTCTATATTGCTACTGTAATTCTACTACTATAGTGTTTCTATATCATTACGTACTATATTACTACTATACCACTATATTACTACTATACCACTATATTTAGAAAACTTGGAGAGTCAAGGGGACTAGTGGAGCTTATTAACGGTTTAGTGTTTAGGGCTTGGGGTGTAAGGTTCATTTAATGTTAAAAAGTCGAAGCGTCAAGGGGGCTTCGTAAGTAGATTGAAAATTGGGAAGAAAATGGAAGTCACCACGTTGCCTACAGGGTTCAGGGCGTGGGGTCAGGCTAATGGCTTGGGCCAGAGACATTGGATTTGTAACTTGCCTTGGGCAGCCCTCTCACGCCGGAGGTTTAAAAACAGAAAGTCTGGTCAGGCGACAGACCCCAGCGACAGGCTCCGCAACCCCCCCCCACCCAAGGCCCGGGGCGCGCGAGAAAGGGGTTTCAACGAGGAGTGCCGCGGCAAAGGTCTGTGACAGGAGGGGGGGAAGTGCGACAAAGAGAGATTTCGGCCCACTCCCTAATTGAGCAATGGAAAATGGAAACTACTGTATAATGTAGGCTTGTGGGCTTGTGGGTGTACAGGCAGAGGGACGTAGTCAGTATACCAATGACCCCTAGCTAGAAGCCGTTCTGACGATCCCAGCTAGTCCCGTGATAAACCCACTTCCTGAGTGCCCTCCAGCCTCTAAGTACTTCCTATGTGTCCAAGGGCTTAACCAAATCTTGCGGATTTGGGTACCAAAAGCCATTCGGATTACAGCATGTAGGCCTTGAAGCCAAATTATTGAACTTGATTCCTTACGGACTGCTGTCGCTACTGCTACAAACCCTACAACTGCTGTTGCTCTACCACTCCTTTGCCGCCTCTTTCTCCCTCCTCCTCCTTCTCTTCTGCCTCCTTTTTTGGGGGTTGGCTGTTTTTAAAAGGGCATTGCGTGGAAAGTCTGGTCTGTCAGTGTTTCCGTGTGCATATATATATATATATGTGCTTTCTATATTGAAATGGCCTGGGACCTTGATGAACCAGAAGGACAGAATAGCAGTTGCCCCAAGCCATGTTGCAGCTCTTACTCCTGAGCCCTAAACACCCCCCCTACCCCTACATACTGACATATACCTCCATGTAATGTACCCCTGATATGTCCCTAATTATAATCCTATCCCTAAACCCAAAACTCTAAACCCCAATCCGATATGACTCTGTAAACGAGGTTGTGTGTACCAAGCCCGCCATGGTTTCGAGCGACCGGGCTGGTTTGTTCCCTCCGCAGGCAGTCAGGAGCGCCAAGGGATTTAGGGTCTATAGGGGTCAGGGTTCAAGGTTTCAAGGTTTCAAGGTTTGGGGTTTAAGGGTTCAGGGTTTAAGGTTTGGCCATCCGCCCTAATTAAGCCCTAGAAGCCTTGTAACAGAAAAACCCTAAATCCTGAAACCCTCATTTCTACACCCTACAGGCCCGAACACCCGAAACCCCAAGCAGCGCACCCCATCCCTCTAAATTCCGAACTGGGGCACGGTTTAGGGTTGGTTTTAACCCCAATACAACTTCAATATAACCCGAGTATAACCCCAATATAATCCCAACATAACTCTTATATTACTTTCGGGTTTAGGGTAGGAGGTGCTGGGTGTTCGGTGTCGGGTGGGTCACTTGAAGGTAAGCCACAACAAGCCCAGAAGAATCCCACCCCTAAACCTTAAACCCTGAACCCTTAAGCATAATCTCTTAACACTAAACCTTTACAGCCTAAACCCTCTACATCAGCCAAAAGCTGTAGGCCCAACATGCCAGCCTTGTTGATGCAAACCGTCGCTCCTTCAACGCTTAGGCCTTAGGTTCAGGGTTTAAGGTTAAGGGTTTAAGGTTTAGGTTTAAGGTTTAGGGTTTAAGGTTTAGGGTTTAAGGTTGAGGTTTAAGGTTTAGGGTTTAAGGTTGAGGTTTGAGGTTTAGGGTTTAAGGTTAAAGGGTTTGAGGTTTAGGGTTTGAGGTTTGGGGTTTAAGGTTTTGGGCTTAGGGTTCGAGGTTTAGTGTTCAGATTTTTTCTTGAAGAACAGAAAAGGAGCCCTTGGACTATGACTTGTATGGTGCCTGTGCTGAATCGGGATTAGCTTTCTGGCTGGTGGATCAAGGTCAATATACCCAGGTAGCAGGTATAGCGACCCTACCAACAAGCACACTTTCTCAAAGACCCGTGCTTACACAGGGTGCTTTCCATACGAAGGATTATATGAACCCTAAACACTAAACCCCTAAACCCTAAACCCCTAAATCCTAAACCCTAACCCATATATAACGGTGTGTTTTTTGTTTTGAGACCCCTAATTATGCAAACCCCCAGGTGCCTACGAGGAAGGTGCCTGGCGCTTGGGCGAGGCAGACCACCCAGACATCCCGAAACATCAGAGTCATGAGCACCTTGGAGAATTGCTTGCCCTGAGGGTCCAGGGATCCACATAATAGGGTCCCTTTAAAGGGGTTATAGGGGATATATAGGGATATATGCGGCTATAAAGGGTTCCAAGGACCCAAATAATAGAGTTTTAAGCCCCAACTACCACCAATATTACAGTATTTGGGCCCTGAAGCCCTATTATTTGGGTCCTTGGACCCTTACGGTTAACCTTGAAGCGTTTGCAGGGTTTACGCTCTTTGGAGCAGTGCTCAACTATTGTAGCTGGAAGAACTGCCATGCCCACGTAGGGTATCTGGTGCCAGTGCTAATGTTCGACTAGCCTGCAAGGTACTTAGACCTCGTGGAGGGGGAGCTGACTTTCGACTGGCCGGCCAGCCACGCCACAGTGGCAGAGGAATGCCGGGCTGCACGGGAAGGAGTGGCTATCTTCGACCAGTCCTACTTTGGAAAGTTCTACCTCTCGGGCCCCGAAGCCGACGAAGCGGTTCAGTACTTGTGTGGTGCGGACATAGAAGGAAAGCGGGCGGGATCTGTGACCTATACGCCCCTTTGTAATTCCAGGGGCGGGGTGGAGGCCGATCTCACGGTCACAAAACTGCAAGATTCAGCTGGCAGCAACTATTACTACTTCGCGGCAGGTGGCAACACTGCCACGAAGGACCTGGCCTGGATCCGAAAAGTGCTTGAGGATCAGAACTTTAAGGCTCAAATCGAGGACCAGAGCGAGGCCATGACCCTCATCTCGGTTCAGGGGCCCTCCAGCAGGCGACTGCTGCAGTCTTTAACCCACTCAGATATGAGCGATGAGTCCTTGCCTTTCTCCGGTGCCAAGCACCTAGAAATTGCTGGACACCCACTTTTGGTCCTTCGTTTGACCTTTGTTGGTGAGCTCGGCTTCGAGCTCCACACGCCTGCAGAGTCCGCCGTAGAAGTCTACCGCGCTGTGCAGGAGGCAGGGGCCAAGCTGTCCCAGCTTGAAGGCATTCCCGTCCGCGATGCCGGGCTCCTTGAGAGCCACAAAGTACTCAATCTTGTCAGGTTTCTCCATTATTTCGGGGTCTGCCATGCCAGTAGGAACCCATAAAAGGGCATAAAGTTTGCAAGCTAGGTATAGGGCCATCGACAGCCTCTCCGCGGAGAAGAACCTCCGTCACTGGCATGCGGATCTCAGCAACCGGGACACACCCCTGGAGGCGGGTATCGGCTTTACAGTCCTCTCTAAGCTGAAGCGTACAGGCTCCTGATCTCAAGAAGCAAATTTTCCTCGCTAAAGCCCCTAAAACCCTGAACCCTAAACTGACCTGAGGAGAACAGATCCCATAAAACAGGGACAAATGCAAAAAGCAAACTTTCCTCTCCCACAATGGAAGCTGATGACAACTCCGCCTTTTGCCATCCCTAGTGGGGATATCCAGAGGCTTCCTTGGCAATCCCTGTACATTTCCAGGGCTTTTAAAGGCTCCCAACCTCCAAACCCTAGGCCCAAATCACAGGGTTTTAGCGCACAAATACCATGAATATTACAGTATTTGGGCCCTAAAACCCTATGAGTTGGGTCCTTGGACTCTTAAAGAAAGGAGGCTGGGCCCGAAACGCATAATGTAGATGCCTCAGTGAATGTTGTAAATATGGTTCCTTTCCATCCAATGTGGAAGCATGAATGCGCAGACATACCCTTCCTTTTAATTATATAGCTACCTAAACCCTTCGACTACCCTCTATACTTTTCTAAGTATCGTTCATTAGAAGCCGTAATAAGCACAATTAAGGGTATTCGTGCTAGGAGGACCCGGGTATAGTATAGTATGACACAACCTACGTTGACCGGCTTGGCAGCGTGAAGCCAGTGGCGCTCCTAATGCTGAATGCTTTCCGAAAGACTTTAGGTTTGTACCCCTACTTGAAGCGTCAGGAGGGCTAGGTAGGGCAATAGTCCTTACAGGCCATCTTTTCACCCAAGCATCCTCATTCTTCACCTACTTACTAAGGCCTCATGACCCTCCAAGGAATGTTTGTAGCTTTAGGTTTTGTATCCCAAATAGCCGGATTTCGTGCTACATTCCTTGGCTTCGTCATGCCAACCCGAAGTCTCAAACGCCAAGAGTACAGAGGAAAACTCCACGACTTTCACTGCCTCAAGCAGGCCGCCCTGAAAATGTTCAAGGACGTGCAATCTTAGATCCATGATGTCTAGGCCTTTCTGCGTAACCCTAAACCCTAAACCCTGAACCCTAAGCCCTAAACCCTAAAACCCTAAACCCTAAAACCCTAAACCCTAAAACCCTCAACCCTAAACCTTTCCTTAGGTTCCGATGCCCCAGACTTCTTGGGCCGTGCAGCTCTCGAACGTCAGCGGGCGGATGGGCTCAAGCGGAAGCTCATCTGCTTGGTTCTTGAGGCGCCAAGGGGTTAGGGGTTTAGGGTTTAGGGTCTACTAGGATCCTCTGATGTACTTCCTTTTTTTGGCTTTGGTATGGTTGTTTGGGTCACGATGTGCTCCCAAAATCTACGGTCTACGTAGGCTTAGGCTTGAATGTTTGGAATGACTATAATCCTCTGAAGGTACCCCTAATTTTGGGTGACTGTCAAGGAACTTGAATCAAGTTGTTTGAATAAGGAAACCCTACTATTCACTATATACCCATATTGTGGTGATTTAGCATTAAGTTCCTCCTGACCTGGGAAGCTGTTAAGGAACTTAAACCAGGCTACTAGAATAAGCAAACCTGATAAATTACTGCATACCCATATACCTAAACCCTAAACCCTGAACCCTAAACCCATGTAACCATGTATGGCAACTTAAGCCCTAAGCTCTTCTAAATTCCTTCAAAAGGCCCTGCTCAATCGTGCGCTGTATACTCATATACGGTGACTTAGCTGTAAGTTCCTGAAAAGCAACCCGGTAAACTCTAAAGCTTGTCCCCTCAGCCCGGAACCGCCAGTTTTGAGGTGTAAGGACCTAGGAAAACTTGTTCTTCAGAGCTATAGTCCCCCTGAAGTAGATAGAATATGGGGTATATGGGGATCTTATTATGATATACCCAACGCC